GCACACTTTATATAATAACGATTATATAATAACAATCAAAAGATTTTAGGATATATAAAAAGTTTTAACTGATTCTTTTATTAAATACTTTAAATAAACTTTTATTTCTTTTTAATATTTTTTCACATTTCAAGTCCTTTGAATTGATTACTCCTTGACAGCGATGAGGAATTGAGTTCACAAGCTTGATAATTACATCAATGTCAATTTGTTCCAGTATAGTTCAGAATTTTAAATAATTGTTGTTTACATGTTATTTTTAACCTGAGATTTGTCGATCGAGATATTCCCATAAATTTTCAATAGGATTAAGTTCAAGACTTAGCAAAGATTCCATTCCAATCAAATTTCTCTGGACTTGAAAAAGCCTTTCAATATAGTGAAACAATGACCCAAAGTAAACCCTATATCGTTGACCCAGGTATATATGGTAAATCCAGGGTAGTATGCTTTGGGTAAGTCCAGCTGAAATATCTATCCTGGAAGCATTTTGTTATTACCATGTGACAGTATAACATCCTAAACAGTATCTATGTACATATTTTTGTCCGTCATGCCATCAATCAAGTGAATAATGCAGACACTATATCTATTAAAGCAACTCCAAACCATTAGGTTTTCACCTCCATGTCTTACTATTGGTAGCTGGTATTTAGGATTATGTGTGTGTGTGTCCCTTAAATGGGTGAAAAAAAATATTTTTCGGATATTAAAGTGCATACCCCCTTTTTCTTTATAAACTAAACTTAAATAAACACTCTAAACTTTTTGAACATTGGGATATCAGGGCTACTTGTGATTTGGTGGATTTTTGTTTCAAAAACAATTTTTAAAACCAGATGGCTGCAAGCAAAAAGTAGTAAATCCCTGTCTAATTTTTTTTCCAAAAGTACAGAAACACCTTCAATGGCCCTGTATTAGACGCTGTTGTGACAAAGCACGTTATTTCTACTTTGTCATTAAGGTTCCAGTCATAAAGTGCGTTTAACACAGCTTCAGCTTCATTCTGGCCAGAAGACCTCTCCAGTTTGTGTACAGCCAGCAGTTGCTTCTTTTCTCTAAATGAAATTATAATTGTTAGGTGTTCTTCTTTAAAACTTCTCACGTCAATTCCAGGTAATAGTTTTTCATCCAGTGAACGATCAATATTTCAGGTACATTATTCTTAAAATCTGATTTTATAGATTCCGCTCTATCTTTTCTACTTAATGTGCGAATGCGTTGAATCGACGATTTGTTTATCGGGAAATCGTCACAACTAAGACTTGTAATTCCATTTTAGCATGAAGTGACAGAATCCCTTATGCTTAATAGACTTCTATCTAAAGCTGCTACAAACTTTAGTGTGATAAAATTTTTGCTCCCTCTTTTTGTAATAGTTTTAGAGGTTACCATTTGAGAGGTGAATGGTATATTGATTGGGTTTGTATAAAATCTTGTGTAGTAAGAGATAATAATAAAACTCAAGAAAAAAATTTGATGATGCCTTTTATTCTTTTAACTGTCTTGCTTTTTTTCTTTTTCTTCCTTTCCTCAACCATACATTTAAAAACACATCAAACACATACGAAGTTATATAAACTCCTTATACGTATCGCTTGATGTGATACAAAAAGTACATACCACACGAACATTATAAAGAATTCTTTTTTTTGCTCCTGACTCTAAATTAAATTTTAAAATTTTGAGTTTTCCCAGTCAACTCAAAAATACTGAATGTTTTTAAAAATATAACTCATATTAACTATTCCACAAAATAAAAGACTATGTTGCCCGTTTAATAAAACTGTTAATACAATTGATCAAAGATCAAGGTTTTATACATAAAAATCAATTAAAAAATGAATAAAATGTTCAAAGTTTCAAACATAATTTTCCTCTACTTTCTTGTTAAATTCCGTATTTAATAACTCATTAACGCTCAATTTTGTTCTATTCATAATCTTTTGAAAAGAGTTTGAAGAAGTCAGTGCGTCGCAGTGACTTTGCTTAAACTTATGCCATGAAACTTTTTAATGTTCAATAAACTGTTCTTTTATTTGACGCTAACTTGGACACAAAAGTTTCTTTCTTATAGCTGAGTAAGTCTTCAAGATAAATTGTAAGCTATCAAATTGGAAGACTCTTTTACCTTCAAGTTGAACGTCATTTTTAAAATTGTACATTGTACAAAGTTTTCAAGTATTTCTTACTAATTTTAAACCTAGATTGTTTTAACATAAACCTTATTAACATCAATAAAAATCTTAACATCAATAAATATAAATCTAAATATAACTTCAATATCCAATATAGAGTTAGCAAGTGTAACATCAATTCTACATGTAGTATCTACATCGGTAGATGAGTAGAATCAAGCGATGCATTTTATAAAGAATTTTACAGTATAACAGTTTTCTGTAAATTTTAAAATTAACCAACAATTACAAAACTGACGTAAATAAAAAAGTAATTTGAGTAGATACTAGAAACGTTTCGTATCAATAAGGTGTTTCATACTTTTCGTACCTAGACAATAAAGTGTTTTATACTTTGACAGAATGTCTTAGCATGAGGAGTATTACTATTATAAAAATGATGACATCAAATTTTAGCACAAAAACTTCTTTTGTCGCAATTTAAGAAATTTTTTTTAAAATAGCTTAAGACTGGTGTTATCACCAGGCTGGATAAATAAAAAAAAAGCAATTGCTTTTACACAGCGTTTTTGGAGTAACTGCTCAGCTTTACAGGAATAAAAATTTGATCAAACTTACACAGCTTTACGCGAATAAAAATTTGAGCATAATTGCTCATATTTTTATTTGCGTAAAGCTGAACTATTACTCGAAAAATCGCTGAGCAAAAGCTATTGCTTTTTTTATTCACCTGGCCTACTCTCACAAATGCGTAAGATTGATGTCAGTTTTACGCGTTTTAATCTTATAAGGATATATCTGATATAAATAATATAAATGATATATAATTGTAGAAAATATCTTTAGAATATTTTAGACAACAGAAAAATCCTTTTCTATGCTTACTAACAACCATGGTGAATTAATATAAGCATGGTAATAATATTTAGAATTGAATTCCATCAGACATCTCAAAAAAATAACCGACAGTTTTTCCAGCTTAAGATAGCTAAACCACTTGTTATACCATAAATAGAAAGGAGGAAATTAAAAGTTCTGCCTAAACAGTTTCAAGCTCAACACGAAACTAGGTTATTGCAGCCTTAAAACGAAAACGTTGTGATTGATGCTCAAGAAAGCTAGACAAGAAAACATCTACCACTTGTTCACACTTGGCGCTCAATTGTAAATAGTTAATTGTATATATATATATATATATATATATATATATATATATATATATATATATATATATATATATATATATATATATATATATATATATATATATATATATATATATATATATATATATATATATATATATATATATAAATGAACTGTTTTTATACACCTGCCCTGTTTAGCTGCTGTGTTTGCGTTGAAAATGTTATAGTACTTGTATTATTTATATATATATATATATATATATATATATATATATATATATATATATATACATATATATATATATATATGTATATATATATGTATATATATATGTATATATATATGTATATATATATATATATATATATATATATATATATATATATATATATATATATATATATATATATATATGTATATATATATGTATATATATATGTATATATATGTATATATATATATATATATATATATATATATATATATATATATATATATATATATATATATATATATATATATATATATATATATATATATATATGTATACATAAATGAACTGTTTTTATACACCTGCCCTGAGAAGCTGCTGTGTTTGTGTTGAAAATGTTACAGTACTTGTATTATTTTTTTATTTTTATTTTCTTTACATTAAATATACATAAATATTTAAAAAATCTGCCATCATCAAAGTATAACTAAATAAAAAGTGGTTTCTAAATAAACTAATGCTGCTGCTATTAAAAACAATCATTTTATTTGTTTTTTCTATGAAACAGGTATACAGGTCATTTTGATCTAGCTTGCAGTTAAATACAGTTAAAACATCAAGTAGAGATAAAGTTCAACTGCTTTAAAAGAATTAGAGCTTTTTAGGAACAAAAATTCAAGTTCATCACAAAACTTTTTTAACTGCAGAAGGAAAAAGATTTAGCCTAAAATTTTAGTATCAAAAATATTTATATACTTTTCCAAACTAACTTACTTTTTTTAGGATCCATGTTAAAATTATATTAACTATAGATAATTGATATGTTAATTATAGATAGTTGATATGTTAAGTAAACACAGTAGATATGTTAATTAAACATAGTAGATATGTTAATTAAACATAGTGGATATGTTTATTAAAGATAGCAAATATGTTAGTTAAAGATAGTAGATACGTAATTTAAAAATAGGCGATATGTTAATTAAAGATAGTAGATATATTAGTTAAAGATAGATATGTCAATTAAAGAGAATAGATATGTTAATTAAAGTTAGTAGATATGTATATCTAGCAGCGCTTATTTAGAATATTTTTTGACATGAACTTGACTAAAACTTTGTTTGGAAAGGCAAAAAAGTGGTAGCAGCATCTGCAAAATTGTTATTCAATTTTTTATAAAGAATCAAATGGTAAATATAATCAATGGTACAAAATCAATAAATCAAATACAAATATTACTTTGCTGACGAATAGAAAAAATGTAGCAGCATTGTGTAATTTAGGGGTAGTTTAATTACCGCAGCCCTTCTTTTTTTTTCTAAGCATTTTATTGTTAGTTTTATTGCGGGTACTATAGATGATAGCAGTCAATAATCAGCTATACAGCTTAAAATTACAGCTAATGGATAAGATTACAGCTAATGGTTAAGATTACATATTAAAATCTTCTCAACCAAAACAAAAATATTAATGGAAGCTTTAAATAAAAAAATAATTCCGTATTGCTTGAAAAATAATTTTTGCAAATATAAATATAAGGTAACCTTAAAATGATCAGGTGAACTAAAAAAAGTGTATATTACTTTCTCACGCAAAAAATCCTCTGCAAGACTATGAGTCTGTTGTTTTTTGTTTCAGGCAAATGTAAAAGTTCATTGAAGTCAACTGACCGCAATATATTCAACTAAAGGCGATAGTGGCTCTCGTTTAATTACATCAAATTTTTTATTTTTTTTGTTATCGGCTAATGATGATATTAGCTCTGGTATTGGGTTTATGGGTGCATATTCAATTTTGTCTATATCTAAAGGTTCATTTGACAATTTCATTCCTATAGATGACGGTTCATGTAAGATCATACTAGTTCCTTCAATAAACAAATTAACATCATTATGAATGTCAATACTTTCATCTTTGAGTTTTCTTGGGAAGTCATCACCAGACAATGTCTCTTCATCGCATGACATTGGTGGCGACAGGTACAATGGTGATGACAAAATACTAAACACTCCGTTTATACTGTTTCCAAGGTTCCTTGAAATAAGAAAAGAGTTCTCAGAGGTCGGCAATAAACTCCCAGCTTCTATTAGTTCATCGTTAACTTCCGTCATTGTCTCTAAATGATCTGCACTAATTTGCTCTGAACTCCAATTGCAATCGGCTCTCATGACCTTTGAAAAGGCTGAACAATGTTCTAAGTTAAGAACTTCATCACGACGAATATTTGAAGTTGATTGCAATAAGTTATTTGCAATTGCTGTAATATTATCTTCGTCTGTTGGAAAATATTTTATAACCGGCCTTTTACCATACGAATGATCTTTCATACAATCTTGCATATCGGTAGTGATATTGCGCTTTTTAATATTTGTTTTAAACTCTAAAGATTTTGAATTGTTTTTGGGATCTTGCATTAAATTTATACTTTCTAATTTTACCGCATAATTATTGGTCTCGTTTATCCCATATTTATTATCTTCGGAAAAGTTTCTAAGTTCTGCCATTTTATAGCATATTTGTGGTTTACAAATATCTTTTGAGTTAAAATTTTCTTGATTTAACTTATGTAGCAACTGCGTTTCTAGAATTTCAAATCGTTGATATTTTATGGCTTCACGACAACTATCGATCATTGTCGTTCGTCGCTTTCTAATATTATTTTCTAATAGTTTATTTGCAAACTCAGGAATAACAGTCCAATAACCACCTTTTCCGGGGTCGCCTTTATTTCGTGGTATTTTAGTGAAGCATTTATTTAACGAAAGATTATGTCGAATCGAGTTCTGTAAAATAAACACAAACATATTTAAACACATAGATATACAAATTGTTATGGTTATCTCCTGTGAACAATTTAAATCCAAATTTAGCTTAATAGTCCAATATTTAAGGTGTTTTCAAACATGTTTTCCATTTTTGTATAAAAGCACTTGAAGTAAAGAAGACAACTAGCAAAGAAAAATTAGAAAGACATTATTTCAACAAATTTGTTGCCACTTTCTTACTGGAGGACACGGTTTAAAAATGATACCAAAAAGAGTCAAACAGGCGGAAAAAAAAAACTTTTTGCTGCTGCTGTAAAGAATCTTTGAGAGAAGAGTTTTTTCTTATTTTAAGATAATTTTTTATTTTAAGATAATTATTTAAGATAAGTACAAAAATTAAAAGTAATTATCTATTTTAAAAGTTGGGTATTATTTAGAGTTAATTTCTTGAGATAAAATGATACAAAGAGAATGTTTAAATAAAAATAAAAAAAAGCTTCCTTATAAATTTGTTTTAAATGTCGGTGAAAGGTAGCAGAAAAAATGTCACCGAGGTATACCCGACGAGCATTTGTTTTTAAAAGTTACGTTCTAAATGTATTTTAAATGTCTTTTAAACGTATTTTGCGTAAAAATGTTTAGAAGACGTTTAAAAGACATTTAAAATACATTTAGAACGTAACTTTTAAAAACAAATGCCCGTCGGGTAGTTATTAGAAAAAATGCCGTTGAGGTCATAAATTACAGAAAAATATGTTGTTAAGGTTTAGGTACCAAAACAAATCCCTTTAAGATAAAACTAGATAAAATATAGCTGATTCCCTCTTTCTTTCAGTGCAAGTATCTTGTTCTTTTTCCACTTGTTTTTCCAGTAAAAAAAATATTTTTATTAATGATTGTTATACAAAAGACATACGTTAAGTACATTACTAATGCTTTTACCATATGCTTATGCTTCAAATAAGAAAGGAAAAACTCTTCTGTAAAGATCTTTAAATATACCCGTAACAAATTTATCCTTCTGCTTGCACTCATTGCAGCTAAATTTAAAAAAATTTTGCCTCGCAATAAACAAGAGATTTTATTTATGCTGAAACGCGCTTGTTTGCCTTTTGTGTGTGTTTCTCTGTGCGTGCGTGCGCGCGTGCGTGTGTGTGGCTTTTATAACCATTCGTTCTATTAAAAATTGTGATACCGAAAATGCATTTTGTCTGATAAATGGACGAATGGCTTTTTGTCTCACAGAGATATTGATTAGCTAATATAATTTCAACTTTATTTAAAACCTTTTTATATTGGACAGTTGAGCTAAGTATCAATTTAAGTTGTTTTCACGGAATATGCAAAGGACATGCAAAATGACATGTGTTGAATTTTAAACATGTAAGTGGATTTAACCCTTTTTATGTATTAACAATTTTAATTGAAAGTTGACTTTAATTAATTTAGTTTACAAAAATGCATTTTATTTATTTATGCTGACGTCCCAAATGATAACAATCACAAATTGTTAAAAAATAAAAAATACCTGCCAACTTGGTTCGGCGTATTTATAAAATGGAAAATGATCACCAATCCACTTATAAATTTCACTAAGAGTCATTTTTCCGCATACTTTTGATTTCATAGCCATAATAATTAAAGCTGCGTACGAATAAGGAGGTTTTACACTTTCACTTGAGCGGCAGTCATTTGAGGAATTTTCGTTGTAATGGTAGTCTAAAGAAGATTCAACACAGTTGTTGTAATCTTGTTTATTTTCTCCTTCGTTACACACAATTGAAGTTGCAGGTGATAATGATGTGTATGAAATTGGTTTTCCTTCCAAGATATCATCTATATTAACTACTGTCAACCAATTAAGGTTAGTCAATGTATCATCAAATAGTTGATTTTTTTGTTTATTAATTTTATATTTCATGGTAATCGATTCAAAACTCTTTTGTCGAAAGCATTTAACTTCATTTTTTGGCTTTACCTGAAATATTTCGTCTTCTTCTACTTTTATAAAACTGGAATGACAAAAAACATTTGACTTATTTACGTCGTTATAATCAAATGAACTCGGCATACGCTGTTCAATGTATCTACAGGTCATACTTAAAATAAAAGCTTTGTTTTAGGTTACTTTCAACAGTTGAAATAAGAACGGTTTTGTGTTATTATATTAATCATCTAATTGATATGATTAAATGTTCAAATTACTAATATAACCAATCAATTTTAGAACAATGACCAGCCAACCAACTTTAAATCAATAACCAAACAACCTTATAATCTTAATAACCGTTTAACCGATATTAAAAATTTTAATTCAAATTAACTAAATAAAAAATTATAAAATACAAATTAATTTGTAATTTTATCACACAATACAAGTATTATTCGTTAAAAAAAAATCAATATACTCTCTAATCAATATGCTCTATATTTAAAAAGAAACAAAATATTTGATTGTTAGAAAAATATACTAAAGGTATTCTAATAACATTTTTTTTGTAAAGTTTTATTAAATAATAATATAAATAAAGTTATATCCTATTCTACGTCCCTACAGAATATGCCACTGGTTAATACAAATATTATTCTACGTCCCTACAGAATATGCCACTGGTTAATACAAATATTATTCTACGTCCCTACAGAATATGCCACTGGTTAATACAAATATTATTCTACGTCCCTACAGAATATGCCACTGGTTAATACAAATATTATTCTACGTCCCTACAGAAAATGCCACTGGTTAATACAAATATTATTCTACGTCCCTACAGAATATGCCACTGGTTAATACAAATATTATTCTACGTCCCTACAGAATATGCCACTGGTTAATACAAATATTATTCTACGTCCCTACAGAATATGCCACTGGTTAATACAAATATTATTCTACGTCCCTACAGAATATGCCACTGGTTAATACAAATATTATTCTACGTCCCTACAGAATATGCCACTGGTTAATACAAATATTATTCTACGTCCCTACAGAATATGTCACTGGTTAATACAAATATTATTCTACGTCCCTACAGAATATGCCACTGGTTAATACAAATATTATTCTACGTCCCTACAGAATATGCCACTGGTTAATACAAATATTATTCTACGTCCCTACAGAATATGCCACTGGTTAATACAAATATTATTCTACGTCCCTACAGAATATGCCACTGGTTAATACAAATATTATTCTACGTCCCTACAGAATATGCCACTGGTTAATACAAATATTATTCTACGTCCCTACAGAATATGCCACTGGTTAATACAAATATTATTCTACGTCCCTACAGAATATGCCACTGGTTAATACAAATATTATTCTACGTCCCTACAGAATATGCCACTGGTTAATACAAATATTATTCTACGTCCCTACAGAATATGCCACTGGTTAATACAAATATTATTCTACGTCCCTACAGAATATGCCACTGGTTAATACAAATATTATTCTACGTCCCTACAGAATATGCCACTGGTTAATACAAATATTATTCTACGTCCCTACAGAATATGCCACTGGTTAATACAAATATTATTCTACGTCCCTACAGAATATGCCACTGGTTAATACAAATATTATTCTACGTCCCTACAGAATATGCCACTGGTTAATACAAATATTATTCTACGTCCCTACAGAATATGCCACTGGTTAATACAAATATTATTCTACGTCCCTACAGAATATGCCACTGGTTAATACAAATATTATTCTACGTCCCTACAGAATATGCCACTGGTTAATACAAATATTTCCAGAATGAGTAAAAAAGATCCTTTTCACAAACGTTTTAATAAAATATTTAAAATTTGCAAAGGTGAAATTAAATTAAAGGTGAAAATTTTGAAGTATGTTTTTTAAATAATGTTAAGTAACTCTACATTTTAACCTCTATATTTTAAAAAAGCTAAAAAAAAACTGTAGCTTTTTTTTGATGTTATATATTATTTATAAGCAAGTTATGTTCATAAGTTTTGAAATTTTTTGAAATATATTAGCAACCGATATAAACAAACTGTTACTAAGAAAAAGTAAAAGCAACAAAGTTCACTCCTAAGCGTGTTTAAACTAAGTTTTTTACTGAAATCTCTAAATGTTTCAACATTCTGTTTTATTAAAAAATAAATTTTGATCAACTTTTAACAATTTTGTAAAACGATGTTTTTAATTATTAAATAAAATATTGCTTATTTTTTTTTATTACCAAAAGAAAAATTATCACCGATGATGATGATAATGAATATTATTTGTTTTACTTTTTATTTTATTTTATTTTACATTTGTTGGTCGTATTACAATTATATATTGCCAAAAAATAATAATAATAATAATAAAAAACTTTCACAAATATAAAACAAGGTATCTGAAAAAAGATCAAAGGATCTTGGATCTTTTCGATAACAATCGTTAACAAAAGTTTAAAAATTTATCTAAAAATTAAAAAAAAATTAAAAATTTTTGTGATTTATTAACATTTTACAGTTAAAATAATTTTAATTACAAACGGTTCTTAACTTAAATTTTTTTTGAAAGATACTCAATACCATTTTGTTACCCAATATCATTTTTTTAAGGTGGTAGCCTTATGAAAAGGCCTATTTTTAAACTGCCTCATTCGTTCCAAAATTTATAAAAAAATATGAAAAAAAAAAACAAAAAAAAGTTTGAAAACAGAGTTTATCAAAAAATAACAGCAGAACCGACTACACCGGTGGTGGTGGTGATAGTGAGGGGGGGGGGGTAGTGGCCGTGTCTAGGTTTTTTTTTTCTAAAGGAACTTTTTTTTTCGAAAAAATTTCTAGATATAGAGAATTTTTTTTAGAAATTGACGATTGTGCTCCTCCACTTTTTTAGAAATGACGATTGTGTCCCTCCACTTTGAAACCCGTGTCTTCGGCCATGAACAGTCAATAAACATTCTAAAATTTGTATGGTTCCAGTGAGCACCGGACCAAAATAAGACGTTATTTGAACGTTCAAAAAACATTCAAAACGTTAAAAAGACGTCTTTTTTTTGTCCGTGTCCACTGGGGTAGCTCTAAATGTATAAAAAACTCATTTAAAGGAGAGTATGCCCCTTGATCCTAAAATCCAAAGAAAAAAACACACCAAATTAATTATCTACATTAATGGTTCTGCTAAACTTTAATAAAGTTTTTTTTTTTTAATATTTAATACTAGTGCTTCAAATCAAATTGGAGTTTGTTACTAACTTAAAGTGCCCTGAATTTTAGAATCAAAGATATTTATTCTATCCAATCATAGGATTTTTGAATTCGCTTCACTAGCTCAGATTGTATTAACTTTTAAAATAAGGAATAGATTAAAAATAAAAGGTCAGATAAAACCAGTAGCGCCCCCAAAAAATTTAAAAAATCTTTTGGCAAATGAATTTTATATGTATGTAAAACATCTCATTAAATTATCTATTAACAAGCCGTTTTTTAATGAAGATATGTTTTAAAATTATCTCATAATAAAAAAAATCAAGTCAAAAGTTAAAAAATCAAAATTTCATAATATTTTTAATTTCTTAAAATTCTTAATAATACTCCTTAAAAGATACCAGAGCTATAGAAATCTGTTTTTACAGTATCTTAGTGTCCCTAGCGCTCGAAATAGTTTTTCAAAGCTTGCCGATTGAATGTAATTTTTTCACAAAAACAGGATATTTTCCCTTGAATTTTTTCAAATTTCCCCCAAAATAGCCGATCATTGATCGTTGATCGGCTGTTATTTTGAGCGCTGTAAAAAGATCTAAGCTTTTTACTTTGCTTTATGCATATTAAAGTTGATAAGGGTTGTTTACAATAAGCTTTTGGTCCTTTATAACCAGTTTGGGAACAGCCACTGATCCTAGATCTATTTCTAATAAGTAACATATCTAAATCTGTTACTAATAAATAACAGATTTAGATCTGTTACTAATAAATAACAAATTTTATCTCCACAACCATTGTAATAAAGTGCAGCAGAATTTGTAAAAATTTCAAACGTTCTTCTACTTATAAATATATTTTTAGGACAACGAGTCCATAAAGTTGAATGAAATGCTTTATTTAAACATGTGTAAACATTTTCTAAGCAAACAATCGTCAGATAAATCTTTAACAATAGATCTTATTAATCTATGAATAAAGACATGTAAGTTAATTTTATTAGTGTGTGTGTTTGTACCTTTCAACTTGTCAAGTTTCCATTAATTTAGGTAAAAATAAAGTCTTAGTTTTTCGTTGCTAAGGTAAACTAATTAGCCAGTAAAATATATTAGTTAAAATATATTATTAAAAGACTTTAGTTTAGTAAAAACAAAAAGACTTATATTAGAAGAACGAGGATAACATTTAACTTAAAAACAACTTATTAACTATTTTTACAAATATAGGTCAAAAATATCTGTTTTTTATAATCATACCACACTAATGTTATTTTTTTATTTTTTTTATATAGTAGTCAACAAGCCTATATTTATTATTGACAAAGTTGTAGATTCAAAGACGCACAAAATAACAATTATTACGATATAAAATTACTTAAGTAAATATTTTCTAATCTTTATTGATTTTTAAAATGAAAAATTATCAAACTCAAAATTATTGTTGATTTTTTAAATTTATTTAAAACTTGAACAAAATCATAACTTTATTGAAATAATAGAAAAGCAATCTTATGCCATTTTGCACATTCATTATTCGAAAAATATTACTACTTTTATCACTATTAATAACGGAGAAATTCGTTTTGTAAATTATAATCAAGTAAAGTAAAAATACAAAGTTATTTGTAAAATAACAAAAGAAACAAACCTTTAAGTTAGAGAAGCAAAAAAATATTTTTTAACATGTTATAAGTTTTATATATTAGATTAAATTTTTTGTCTTGTTATGATGAATTGCTTCTTACTCTTTCAATATACTATTAATGATTTATTACGGAGAATATATTTTCATCACCGCAATAATAAAATATTAAAGAAACCGATATAAAGTAAACGTTAAAGAGAAAGGTTCTATTCTTAGATTGATATCATAACTTTTCCATTTTTAACTAAACTGCTTCAAAATGAACAAATATTAAAAAAATCATAATTGAAAATCCACCTTATTGATGTAAAATACAACAAAAACTTTACAATAAGAGAATATACGCAAATAGTCACGTTTTAACCACTTACGGTGTTTTTATTTGGTGAATATAGCGCCAAGTGCATTGGAATTTCTAAAGTTTATTTTAAAAAATATAAACTTTTTTCTCCAATAAAAGAACGTGTAAATAGCATGTTCGAATGCCGTAAAATAATCGAAAATATTGTTCGAAAACAATTGGATTGAATACGCTTTTATTTTGCTTTAACTGAGTTGAAAAAACATGTCTGAAAAATTATAACTTTTCTTAATTGAAACTGTAGACGTCTTTCAAGTTAATTGAAAAAGTTTTTTTTTTAATTATTTTATTATTTTTATCGCACATATAATAAAATCAGAAATAATTCATCGCACGTATAATAAAATCAGAAATAATTTTATTATATAACATGACGACATGAAACAAATGACCAGAAACATTTGAAAATGATTAATAATTTAAAATTATTTCTATCAATTATTTTTATATTATTTATGATTAATTTTATTAATATCGAACTAACCTTAATTAACTTACTAACCAATCAAATACAAATAAAATAAATTATTTAAATAAGTCATATACTTTATTTACATATCACATCAATGTAATTTACTAATGAGCTTTTCTCGAAAGTAGATGAAAGAGATGTTTCCTCTGTGAGCTTTTGGTCTATAAAATTTTTATCTGTGATTTAAGAGTACTTACGCTTTTAGAGGTGCCTAAGCTTTTTTTCACAGACAATATGAGGTTTTTTAAAGTAACATTTTTAAAAAATACAAAAAAATATATATATATATATAATTCGCAAAATGATTACGTAATCAATTGTTGATTAATTATCAAATATTAATTGAAAATAGTTTACTTTATTTATTCAATGCTGCCCAAAAATTTCATTGTTAGGTGTAAATTTAAAGAATTAAATTATATATATTAAAGAATTATATATATATATATATATATATATATATATATATATATATATATATATATATATATATATATATATATATATATATATATATAGGCCCGCCCAGAGCTTTTGTGATGCCCGGGTCCAAAAGTTTAATGGATGCCCTATCATACTTCAGGTCTTAAAATAGCAAATAAATTAATATAGTTTACTTTCATAAAAAACCTAAAATCACATTTAATTTTGGTTTGCAAAAACAAACTATGATAAAATCAATTCTTAATTGACAAACACATCTTCCGGGCCTTCTTAGCAGCAAAATTTGAAATAACTTCTTCGTAATTAACGTTAATGGCTAAATCTGATTCGATTGAAAGGATCATCAAGTAGCACAACTGCTCCTGGCCCATTGTGGAAATGTTAGAAAGATTCTAAGGGAAACACACACTTGCGGAAATATTGAATGCAGCCCCTTTACATAAACTTCATTTAGAAGTTCGACAGGCTTTTCGCTGGCTAGAATATTTCTTCTTACGGAAAAAAAATGCCGAACTTCATCAGAAAATTCGTTTTTACATAAATCTTCTGGGTAAAGTTTTGCCAGATTCTCAGCTTTTAAACCTAGTTCTTGGTCTGTTTGAGATTTCTGTAAAGACCAAAGGAAGGAAAACTTGCTACATTCCTCTTCTATTACTTTAAACCTTGATCTCATTTGACTAGTCAGATTGTAGAGTGCAACATTAAAGACATTACACTCAAAGTTTTTTGATGCTTCTTCGTGGTTGTAAGCAGCAGTTTCATCTGGGATGATCTTTTTTTGCGTTCTCTTCACAGTAAACATTATTTTATCAAATTTCAAGTTCTTTGCAACTTCTGTTGCCTCTATCAAAATCAGGTCCCAAGACAGACGGATTCGATCCAGATCCATCAAAAGGCCATTTAGAATCTTTACTTCATCATCGAGAGTGAGTTGAGTGGATTGAAGCAGAAGACTCACGTTGTTAACTGCCATCAAACATTTAAACCAAAAAGTAGTGAAAACAACAAATTCAAAAGAATTCATCCATTTAATGAGATAATGCACTTCATTACTACTTTCGCCTGGAAGGTCTAACTCTTTTAGACGATGTAATGATTTCAAGATCTCTCTTGGCTTTTTTGCTAATGGCTTAACTGATTCAATCCTTGAACTCCATCGTGTAACAGAAAGTTTATGTAATGATTGGCCTGTCTCCTCCTGAAGAATTTTCCAACGAACTGGGCTGCTGCTGAACAGATTGTATAGCTTTTGAACATTTCCAAAATAGGATTTCGCAGGAGCCGATGATTCAATAGCGTGTACTGCACATAAGTTCAAACTGCAAGCAGAGCAAGGAATGAAAATTGCTTGTGGATTATTCTGTCTTATCAAAGCTTGAACTCCATTGTAAATACCTGCCATATTAGCGCCGTTGTCGTAGCCTTGACCACGACAATTTTTTATGTCGAGCTCATTCTCTTCCAACACATTCAATATCAACTTTGTTATATCAGATCCCTTCTTCTTTTCAAGTTCTTCTAGCTTAAGGAATCTTTCTTTGACCTTCCACAGCTGATTATCATTGAAATGCAAAAAACGAAAAACAAAAGTTATTTGCTCGCTGTGGGACGAATCGGGAGTGCTGTCCGTGATGATGGTGAAATATATTGATTTTTTGATTTCTCGAATAACTTCTCGAACCACTAATTTGCCGCATTCCTTGATAAATTCATTTTGTGATTTCCAGGATAAATAATGAGCTTGCATGCGTTTTTCTTCTTCTTGGTGCTTAGCAATAAGATGCGTATAATCTTGTAATGTTTTGTTGTGGCGAGTAATTAATTCGAGCGCTTCAAGGAAGTTTCCATTCCCATTTTTGAACAACTTTTGATTGGATCCTAATTACAAACAAAAAATAATCAAAATAGTAATCCATATTTATATCCAATTAAAACTTGTAATTTTGATTTTTAAATTACAAATAAAATAATGCAAAATATAATTTAAAATTTAAAAACAATATTCTTACCCCTAAAAGCTAAGTTTCTTGAAGCTAGAAAAATTGTGACGTCAAGAATGCATTGTAAAATTACTTTCCATTGCTTTGTTTCATCTCCAATTTGTTTTTCTAACTGATGCTCAATGGATTTTTCAAGTGAATCGTAGCTGTTTTTCATTGGAGATAACAGTTACGGTGAAAATCGCTTTGTTGATGACTTTTAACGCGATCTGAAAGTTTTCTCCAATTTCCATGTATACCTCCATTCCAAGACAACAAACTGGATTGAACACCGGGTCTGGTTAAGTTAGGCAATCCAAAAAGGGAGCAAGGGAAACAAAAGAGTGATGCCACAGCCTTACTCCAAACGAGCCAATCTCTTCTAACATTTTCTCCGTTTCTTTGTTCCTCTAAAAAGATATTTTTAGAGGAACAAAGAAACGGAGAAAAAAATAATTTGCGTTCTTTTTGATCTCTTGGAAAATTGCTAGGATTTGAAGAAGGTCCCATCAGAATTATATTCGTTCGATCAGTGTCTGATATTGATTTCCATAGTGCAGGATCGTTAGAGATTGGTATAGAAAGATCACTTTTATAAATTTGTTGGTCATTGTGACAATCAAGTACAAAATCCAACTGATCCTTTTTTAAATGTGATGATGTTTTTTGGGAGTCATCGATGTCATCGGCAAGAAAAATTTTGTCGGAATTATGGTTTGGCAACTCATTAGAGTCATTGATACCGATCTCAATATCATTGAACTATAAAGAAATATTAAACAGAATTATTCTAATTATTTTTTCATGAACGTCACAAGATTTCTCCTAGCAGCTCCAGACAGCTGGTTCAATCGTGGAGGTCTTTGATTATTCATGTTAAAACTTATGACGATATAAAGAATTTTAACTTTTTAAATTTTAAAAATGAAAAACTTTAAAATACTTTGGTGTTATTAATTGCAGAGAAAAAGTCAGTACTTACAATTAAAATATCCACTGAAGATAAGTTTCTTGTCAAAATATAGTCGGAACAAAATGCAGGCGAATCAAAAACATACATATGCACAAAAGTATCCACAGAGACGCAAGGTTTAAGCAAAAATAAGTTAAACTATTAAAAGTTAGGCTTTTACAAACGTTAAATTAGAAAATTTTTTTTTAACGCTTTTTATTCTATCATGCGAACAAAAGGCCAATGAAAACGCGTGCGTTCAAATGGATAATGAAAACCTTGTAAAGGAATAACTATCCTATTTTAAATGCAAACAAAGTTTAAAAGGAGAAAGAAATTTATACACAAAAATTGCTTAATCTTTAAATACGTTATCAGCTAAATTTTTTATCATTTCAATAATTTTTTTTTTAAAGCATGTGATGCCCCATAGACTGTGATGTCCGGGGCAAACTACTTCAATTATATATATATATATATATATATATATATATATATATATATATATATATATATATATATATATATATATATATATATATATATATATATATATATATATATATATATATATATATATATATATATATATATATATATATATATATATGTATATATATATATATATAAAGCAAAAGGTAGTCAAGCCAGTAAACAAAAGTAAATCTTTTTTTCTCAAAATATTTATTATTAAAAATATTTTTTTATTTTCCAAAAAATACACTAATACAAAGTATTTTTATATAATTAAATAAACTTTAACCACTAGAGGCCTTTCAAAAAATCATCAGTAGTATTTAATTAATTATATAAAAATATTATTATTTATTATATTATTAGTGTATTTTTTGGACAATAAAAAAAATATTTTTTATAATATATATATATATATATATATATATATATATATATATATATATATATATATATATATATATATATATATATATATATATATATATATATATATATATATATATATTAGTATTAATGTTAGTAACTTAAGTTACAAATAAAAAAAAAGTTTTATTGTCATTTTTTGTTACTTTGAAGCACGTTTTTGAATTTTCTCTAAAATTTTAATATCTCTTTTTAAATAAGGCGACAATATTGACACTGCATAAAGTTTACTCTATATAGTAGGCCAATAAGCAGCCGTGGCGCAGTGGTAGCGCACTTGCCTCAGAAACGTAAAATCTGTGGTTCAAACCCCACCTCTGGGCAAGTTTTGCGACTTAAGTTGGGAAGGAGGCATGAACTTCCTATTAAATGCTCTTCCGCGATGTTCTGTGATAAGACCGTAAGGACTTCTTGGGGCACCTTAATCAACTTAATAAAAAAAAAAAATAGTAACATTTCTAGATATAAATGTATTTTTGAGAATTCTAAGCATTCGATTAGCTTTATATGATGCTTATGTGATCAAGAAATTTAAGATCGGATGACAATACTATACCTAAATCTTGTTCAGTTGATATTACTTCAAGCTTAATTCTCTGGTGTGTGCCAAGGTCATTTATGTAGTAATCAAATTTTAGTAAATTAGAACTCCCTAGAATATGCATCACTTTACTCTTGCTTTCGTTTAGTTGCATTTGCCATATTCTTGTCCATTCTGTAATCCAATTAATATCACTCTGCAGTCGTTCACAGTCTTTTTTGCTTTTAATTGTGGCAATTATCTTTGTGTCATCAGGGTACATTTTACAAACGTTGTTTATCTTATCAGGCAGATCATTAACGTATATAATAAACAAAGTAGGTCCCAAAACAGAACCCTGAGGAACACCGCTTATGACAACAACCCAATCAGATATTGTTTCTCTTAAAACAACACGTTGTCGACGATTTGAAATCCAAGAAGAAAGTTTACCAACAATTCCGTATTTTTCTAGTTTAAATAATAAAGGTTTATGCGGTACTTTATCGAAAGCTTTAGCATAATCAAGGAACATATATAAATAATAGGAACATCTGTCGATTTTTTATTTGATTTTGCAAAGGTTATAAAATCCATATTTTCCAAAAGATTTGTGACACTTGATTTATTTGTGACAAACCCGTGTTGACAGGTAGATATAAGATTATTATGAGATAAATGTTCTGTGATTTTATCTCTAATTATTTTCTCAAGAATTTTACAGGTAACAGAACTGAGGGATACTGGTCTATAATTTGCTGGATCTGTTTTGCAGCCTTTCTTATATAATGGAGTAACATTGGCTTTTGGCCAGGACTCTGGTAATTCAGATTGATCAATTTAATGTTGAAGTATAAGTGATAATGGTTTGGCTAATGATTTTGCAATCTTTTGTAGAACTAATGGACTTACGCAATCAGTGCCAAACGATTTGTTTGGATCTAGTTTAAGTAAATGTGATTCAACTAGAGATTGGTCTATTTTTAATGAACTGATTGTGTTTGATATTCTGTTTGGGAAATGCGGTAGTGTTTGTACATTTCCGGTTGTGAAAACAGATTGAAATTGCAAATTTAGTACATTTGATATCTTATATTATTTGATATATCCACTTTCTTTATGCTAATATCTGATTCAGTGATCAATGCATTAGTATGATGATGATGATGAACGTTGAATTAATATAGTTGAAAATTTTGGATTGCATTTATCGTTTGCTAAATCTTCTTCAAAGATTCTAATTGCTGAACAAGTATATTTTTTGATTTGATTACAAACTGTATTATAAAGATTAACTAGATATGGAACTTTCCACTTTGTATTTCTATTTTTGTACCATAGTTGTTTTTTTGTTTTACTTAACTTAATAATGTCAATTGTGATCCAAGGTTGATATTTTTATTTTGTGTGTTTTGATATAGGAGGTATGAATTTAGCATATAGTTTATGATATATATCTGCCCATTTTTCGTAGGAATCACTGGTACTTCAATTTTTAAACATAGCAGTTCAATCATTACTATTAAAAGGTTTATTTAGTTTTGCATAGCTTCCTTTTTTATTACATAATTTTGAGTAAACAAATGGGGTTGAGTAATTTTCAATGATAAGATTCCATTTGAGCAGTAAGTGACCTAGTGTTGCGCATCCAAGAGGTGGATCAAAGGTTATTTTACTAATTTTTTTTGGAGAGTCTGTTGTAACAAGATCCAATGTATTAATGCATTTATCTTTCTTAAATATAAATGTTGAAGAATGTATGCATTGATACAAAAACAAATTAGTTTAACAATTAGTTTGCTTGGTCCTTTGAAGTTTGTCGAATCATTCCAAACAATGTTAGGATAATTAAAATCGCCTGTGAGTAATATCCCGAAAAAACGGTTACTATCAATAGATTTTTTTTAGCTAAAGTTATACAATTGCTTATTTTCTTTGGCAGTTTTTACCATCATTTTTGGTGGGCGGTATTTACCAATCAGCAACTTGTTACTTTTACTGATTGGGAGCCATAGTTGTTCAGAATTTAAAAGTAAAGCAAGAATGAATTTGAGAAAAGCTTAATTTATTTACGTTTAGGCAAGTTCTTGAATAAAAAGCAACTCCTCATCCATGACCATTTCTGTCATGTCTGAAAAGATCATAATTTATACATTTATTATAATATATTATTATATGTTATAAATTTATAAATTTATTAAAGATCATAATATATATATATATATATATATATATATATATATATATATATATATATATATATATATATATATATATTATGTATATATTTATATATATATATATATATATATATATATATATATATATATATATATATATATATATATATATATATATATATATATATATGTATATATATATATATATATATATATATATATATATATATATATATTATATATAATATATAATATATATATATATATATATTATATATTATATATAATATATATATATATATATATATATATATATATATATATATATATATATATATATATATAAATTATATATAACATTTGTGCATCCACATCTTGAATATGCTGTGCAAATTTGGTGTCTCTCTGAAACAAGATATTGATAAAATCGAAAAGATTCAACGAAGAGCAACCAAACTCATACCATCACTCAAAAAATCTTCTTACAAAAAACAATTAAAAATGATGAATTTAACAACCTAACAAGAACGTAGGCTGCGAGGTGATTTAATCCAACAATACAAAATTGAGCACAATCAAGATATTATAAATTGGGTTCACAAAAATGAAAGTTTTAAACATGCTCTAAACCTACGTCAGCACAAATACACTTTGAATAAATCATTTTGTAAAAGCAAGAGTAGATTTAATTTTTTTTTCAACAGAGTAACTAATCCATGCAATAGTTTGACAAATGAAATCGTAGACGCTGACTCAATTGACAAATTCAAGAACTACCTCGACAAATTGTGTAGAGATAAAACACTTTAATTATATATAAACTAATATTAGCTGTTATAGTACAATATCTTATGTTATTGTACTCCACATCTGTTCTCAGTTGTTACAGCTCAGGCTTATTATTATTATTATTATTATTATTATTATTATTATTATTATTATTATTATCATCATTATTATTATTATTATTATTATTATTATTATTATATATATATATATATATTTTTTTATTTATGGTCGGCGCGAATAGGTGTCACGTGGCCGACTAAGAAAAAAAAAAAAAGGTTCTCGTTTTTTAAAATTTGCCGACTGCTTTATCGATATTTGTCAACTGACTGTCTAAGTTTACAGACTAACTTGTCGAAAAGGGTCTACATTTGCCGACTAACTAGTCAAAACGCAATACGCAAGTAACAAAAGCAGACGTGTGAACGGAAGAAGTTTTTCTTCTTCTTTTTTAAAACTCTATTATGGATAGCGAAAATGTTGTTACAATGGTTATGTTGAAAGAACTGCTATCGGCTCAAGCAGATGCAATATTGAAACGTTTTAAAGAAAGCTTTAACAGCATTAATGAAAGAATACTATTATTACAAAAAGATGTTGAGGAAATAAAACGAGGACTTACTTTTGTTGGAAATGATATTGAAACCAAAGTAAACAAAGTAGATAGTAATATGGCGATAATAAAAGAAACAATAATTGGAATAAAGTCGTTTCAAGGAAAGTTAGTAAACAAGGCGAAAGAAAACAAACGCAAAACTGTTGAGTTAGAAGATCGCAACCGGCGAAATAATTTAAGAATAGTGGGCGTTAAAGAAGGAATAACCAAACCAATGAAGATGTATTGAAAATTAAAACCCTCATTAAAGAGGACCTTAAAATAAATGAATCTATTGAAAGGGCTCATAGATTTGGAAAGTTAGAAAAAAGAACAAGGATAATCGTTTGCAAAATACTCAATAGGCAAGATAAAGAGACAATTTTAACAAATGCTCGTAATTTAAAGGGAAAAAATATATTTGTTTAGATTTTAGCGAAGAAACAACGAGAATATATATATATATATATAAATATATATATATATATATATTATGATTCGTGGCCATTTCTATCATTATTTTAATGCACACATTATTCATATTTTTTCTCATAGGGTAAAACACCCAGTGTTCGTCAGGTGTTCCAGTCGTCGCCAGTTTTCCATTAAAAAACATGCATGTCAAAAACTATTTGGTTGAAAGTGCCGAAATAGTGTCTAGAATGAACGCCCATCATTGCTTTATATTTGACGAAAGTTTGACGATCGTAACTAAATAAATAAACTCTCAGGATTTTTTTGAATGAAAGTGTGTCACAAAAAAACCTTAATCCTTAAAATTTTTTTTCAGAAATCTTTTTAAACAATTACATAAAAAACATATTAAATATCAATTCAATTTCACTTTTTTTATTCAGATTGATGGGAAGAACAAGGAGAAGATTGTACTAGGGCTATTCTTGGAAAAAAATTAAGGGGGGCAGGGTTAGGGGGGGTGGCGAAGACTGGAACACATAATAGTACCTAGTCCAGTCTTCGCCAGGTAAATTTTTTTTCTTTAAAGTGGCGTATATGGGCTTAATGGTAAAATATGGACTTTGACCCATATGCCAGTCTTCGTTAGGTTGAATTTCGTTTAAAAACAAAAAAGTTATAGGCGTTTTAAATTTGTCCAGTGTTCGCCACCCCCCTTTTGCCAGTGTTCGCCATCGGGAACAAATTATTATTTTTTATTTTTTATTAAATGTATAAATATAGCTAAGTATTTATTTTTTATATCAGAAGTAGGTTATCTGTTAACCTAGTTATTAAACAATACTAAAGCAGTCCAAATAGGGCTATATAACTATATTAAATTAATTTATATATCAAGTTAAGACTTATAATAAATAGTTTCAATAAGTACCTAGGTACATAATATCCATTTAGAATTATGAGTACTAGTAAATCAAAGTCCAATAAGGGTTCACGTATGTCTACAAGAGATTCTTACTGAGGAGGACATTAGAAAGGCAATTGAAGAAGTAAAAAGGTAATAAAATTAGCATGCATTAATAGACATAATTTCAATGCTTATATTGCTTATTGTGTAGTCATAATAGCCTAATGCCTATAATACATTTAAAAGAAATACATAGGGTAGGGCTGCCTATTACTGATAAAGTAGTTGCATACCTAAATTATACTGTGCTATATTTCAGTGGTGAAAGAACTGCTTCAGAGGCATCCAAGTTGTACAATATCCCGCGCACCACATTGAGGGACAAAATAAGTGGTAAAGCGCCTGTTGTAAAAAAGATGGGCCTACAAACCTACCTCACTGAAGCAGAAGAAAATGTTTTGGTGAATTTTATTGTTAGCGCACAGAAACGTGCCCACCCTGTTACCAAAGAAACCATTATGTCATTGGTAACTAGTCTTCTTTCGGATGAAAGGTTACTTATGGAAGTAAATAGAGACCGTCCCTTTCAATTTGGAAGATCAGGGACTCAACAGCCAGGGAATAAATGGTAAGTAGGTTGTGCCTAAGTTATAAAAGTTGACCTATAGGTAATTAAAATAAAAAAAAATGTTATAATTTTAATAACGAGTCATAAGATTTTTCATTACAAATTAACTTTATAAAACATTTGTAGCTTAATAAATAAAGCTTATAACAATTGATACAGACATAAAATTAGTCTAATAGAAATAGCCTATACCTAGTCGACTAATTTAGCCATTATTTTCTAAGGTATAAGCTATTCCTGTCGAGGCATCCTAACATAGTTGCTCGCATGACTGAATCATTAAGTGCGAATAGAAGAAATGTCTCACAAGCTGTCATACAACAATGGTTTGCTGATATAAGATCGTACCTCTCTGAACATGACCTTCTTGAAATCCTTCAGGAACCCCAGCGTAACTATAACATCGACGAGTCGGGGTTCCAGTTTTTACCCAAGGTTTCCAAAGTTTTAGCTGCTATGGGTTCTAAAAATGTACCGTATGCGACATCTTCAAAAGAAAAGGAAAGAATCACTGTTCTAGGTACATTTTCATTTTATTCTTTGCTCATTTTTATGTTATTTCTGTAATGCTTTTCTTTTAATGCTGCACTATAAATTGCTTTTTTTTCAACATATCTCTGAGCATGATAGCTTAGCATGATACTAGCTTGGCCTGCTTGCTAACTTTTGGTTTTTTTGCACTTTTCTTTGCAGCTAACGTTGGTGCCGATGGCTCTCTCCCTCCACCGCTTATAATTTATCCTAACCTTCGTATTCCTATGAATGTATACGAAGCCATTCCATCCAGTTTATTTGCAATCGGAAAGAGTGAATCGGGATATATTAACCATCAGGTGCTTTATGAGTATCTCACTAATGCATTTGACCAATGGTTAACTCAACATAATATACAAAGACCAGTTATAGTTTGGTCCGACAAACATGAATCGAGGCTGCAATTTCATTTAGTTAAAACCTTAGCAGACCTGCAAATAATGCTTATATTGATCCCACCAAACTGTACCCATTTCATGCAGCCTTTGGACGTAGGATTGTTTGGCCCTATGAAAAATGAATGGGCTAAGTGTGTGAATAGGTTCAGGGCTGCCAACCCAAATGAATACGTTACCAAAGAGTGCTTTGCAGGAATGTTCCTGCCAGTGTACACAAGGGTCATGAGTAGAGAGAAAATAGTAAAATCCTTTAAAAAATGTGGCATACAGCCATTTGATCAAGACGCTTCTGATTATACCAAGCTCACTCTTGAAGAAGCCCACTCCGGAGACAGTCGAATATTTGAAGGAGTGCTTCAAGACGGTCGTGTTGAAGCTTTTATTCATGTCAATGTTGCGACACAGACATCCTCTGCAAGTTGAAAATTTTATTCATGTCAATGTTGCGACACAGACATCCTCTGACATCATCTTGTCTGGTAACACAAGTACTAGCACGATGGAAGGACTGGGAGCAGGCCCAAACATTCACCTGTAAGTGATAGCTAGGTATTAGTGTCTAACATTTTTATCAATATAAAATAATAAGCCCAGCTAGCTAGTTAGTAGCTATTATAAACCAATTTTTATTTATAGCTATTACAGGGTAATAAAAGTTAGTAACTATTATAAAACAATTCTTATTTATATTACAGGATAACAAAATCATTTGATGACTTTGTCATCGATTCGCCACGATTTGACTCAGAATGGTGAAGAGGCAAAATTGGTTTCAATATGTCTTTGATCGAAATCATCGGCAAGAGGATGCACCAGCTGTTGATTCCCTTGTTGTTTCCCCTGTTCATTCACCTAGTATTCATTCTAGTTCAGATGCACAGTGTTCCTCAATGTCAAACCCTCCAAACAGGACTAGGCCTATGTTGGTAGAACCTCAAAGACAAGCAAGACCACCTGCGATTAGTCCTGCTCTTAAAAATCATAAGTGGTTCCCTTCTCCAAAAAAAGCTATCGGTTAGTGTATTAACTAGGCTACCTATATTTTAAATTTATTATTATAATTTCCATTTTTAACCTCTGTAAAATTACCACATGTAGCCTATGGTCATAAATTTACTTTATTATAACCTGATTATTATTTTAATTTTCATAGGAAAGGTTCGTACAGTGGCTCAAGAACTTCATGCCACATCTGTAGTGACTTCAGATAAAGTTGTCTCGATGCTAGAAGGTATTAGGCTTGAAAAAAAACAACAAGAACAAGCAAAAGAGGAGAGAAAAACGAAGCGCTTAGTTGCTGAATTAGCTAAACGCAACAAGCCAAGTGTTCCAGCTAAAAGAAAGTTGCTGCCAGCAACAAAAATGGCAAAGAAGAAACCAAAAAAATTTTCCATTACATAAAAAAATTATTCAACAATTATTTAAATATATTTTTAATACCAAATAACTAAAAAAAAGAACTCGTTTTTTAAAAAGTCTGAGGGTGGCGAACACTGGAACAGGTTCAAAAAATTGCCTGGCGAACACGGGGACCGTTCCAGTGTCCGCCACTTTCAACTTTCGGGGGCTATAGCCCCCTAATTAATTATCGGAGGTCATTCGTTCTAAGTACAGCGTATAGCCCAACTATCCATCTGTACGATAAATATTTAAGATCAATCATTTATTGAAAAACGAGTGAGAAAAAAATATTTTAGTGGGGCAGGGTAGAAAAAAGTGGCGAATACTGGGTGTTTTACCCTATGCAATCTAATCTTTAAAAAACTCAAATTGTTTGCTACATTTTGTGATCCAGAACTATGTAACCTCGCCAAGTCAATGATAATCTTGATAAAAAAATTTCCATTCTTCCATGGCCTATTAAAATATGAATCCAATTCAAAATATAGAAATAGTCAACATTCAGAGAGCTTCACAGCCTAAACAAAATATTATTGATTTTACTTTACTTAATGTATGAAAAAAATGTACATAACACAAAAATCTTTTGGAAATGTTTAAATGTTTTTTAACACGTTTTAGTGTTTTAAATGTTTTTTAAAACGCTTTAGTGTTTTAAATGTTTTTTTAACACTAAAACATGTTAAAAAATTTGTTAAGTTGAAATGATCATCAGTCATATCGAAAATATGTTTCAGAAACACCAATAGTTTGTTTCTCATTTATGCAGATTTTCACTTTTGTTTTTTAATTTTGATGGAGAAAAAGAGTATGAAAGGGAATTTAATGATTTAAAAGTTTGGATAACTCTGCTGCTTCAAATATCATAATTAACAAGCAATATTTCATAATTGATATTACTGTTTCATTTATACAAACTTTTTTTGTATTCTTCGGTATTCTTTTTTACAATTTGAAAAAAAATTTAAAATCAACACTTTAAGCAGTCAAATATTGAAACGAGCTTAACATACTTAAAAATATTTATACATACATATTCTACAAATATTTATAGCTATACTATAAATATTTATACGTAGGGAAGAATGGTACTGAATGGACCTTGTACTGAATGGACCATTAGAAAAATAAAAACTTAACAAGCTGTTAATTGATTTTTTTTAATTGCATATAATTTTTGTATATTCAAAGTTTCTTTAACATTTTTGGTTTAACTTTATTTGTAATAATGCATAAATATTTGTACTTTTTTCGAGAAAAAATTAAATTTTTATCTTTTCAATTTTTTTCAATTTACGCTAGATTTTTAAGGTAAAGTTAACTATGACTCATAATATTATTATAGATATATATATTTTATACTTTGTATAACATTATAATTAATGTTATATCGTTTACTGATTGCTGTGATTATATGGGTAACATGTACATTTTGGTTAGTGTACAGGATAAACCAAAATTGATTGTACTGAATAGACTGGTTTACTTTTCTGCGAAGTATTTATCACGCTTCGGTATGTTACTTACTAAAACAAAATACAGGAGTTTTTTATCGAAATGAACTAAGGAAGTGTGAATTAGGAAATAAACCAAAATATCTAATAAACTTTTATTAACGAAGACTTAAGGGCTCAAGTTCAATACTTTTATTTTTATAATTTCAATTATTCAATATAGTATTAAGGTAAGCAGATAGTATAATATTAAGTTAAGCAGACTTATAGCTTACATATTTAGTTAATAATTATTAATTTGTAGTTTATTTCATTATTTCAATAACTGAATATGTCGTAATATTATTACGATATATAAACAAGTTGTTATTACTTATAATAACATCTAGCATATAACCTTTTTTATATACTATATATAATAAAAGTTATATGCTAGATATGTTATGTAGCATATAATATGCTAGATATTATATAATATATCTGAAATTACTATGGTCAGTAGTTTTTACAATACAAAAAATCAAGTAATATCTAATAAAACCAAGAATAAAATTTCATAAGTTAATTGTTATATTTAAATTACTAAAGCTTGTTGATCATAATAAAAAAATTAATACTGTTTAATTATTACTAAAGTTAATACTATTTATACTTTAAACCAGTGCAAATAACAAATATACAGCTAATACAATGTTAAATCGATGAAAACTAATCCAAAATAGCATTTTCAGTGAATAAATAATGTTCCACAGACTATGACAAGTCACGTCCGTGGAATGTCACCACCCAGACTTTTTGCTAATCCCAAGAAGTTTAAACCTTGTTGCTAGTACTTTACTTTTATTTTAATATATAATAAATAATCAAGAATACATTAAAATTAGAGTTGACATACTATTTTCCTCAAAACATATTTTTAAAGTGACTTTTATGTAATTGAAGCACTTGCCACCACCTTAAATGTCACGTCTGTGGATAAAGTTATTAATTCCAAAAAAAAGCCGTAGGAGGCAGCAGTAGTTCTCTATTTTGCTGTTCTAGCTAAACTACCAGACATTTTTATTAATGAGTAATAGTGGGGGAATTTTTGGTGTACTTGTTTAGTACTGATAAATGTTAAAGTTTTAAAAGTTGAATTTATTAGTCTTAGTGTGTCACATCTGTGGCAAACATACCCAGGGTAAATAATTTTACTTTTTTATAAGCAATACTTTTGTTTAATAGCAATTACCTTGGCATATTTACTTCAAGGGGAACAGAGTCCTAGCCTCAAAACATAGCACTCCTTTTATGGTTTTTCTTTCAATTTGTCACGTCTGTGGATGTCACGTCTGTGGAATACAGAAAGCAACAGACGTGACACACATGGAACAGATGTGACAACAAATGACAATTTTATCTGCACCTGAATTTTTTAATGCTTATTTTAAGCATTTTTAACATTTAAAAACTTTGCTCATATAGCTAATTAATTATTATTGAAAAGATAAATGTTTTTATCCAGATAGTTATAATTTTTTTTTTACTTACAGTTAACAAAAATGGGAAAGATAGAAAAAACTAGAGAATTGAAAAAGTTAAGTATGCGGGAAGCGAGAAAGAAGATGAAAGCTAAAAACCCTGAAAAATATGAAGAACAAAAACGGAAAGATAGAGAAAGAAAAAAAGCAACATGAAAGAAAATTCATGATCTTTCAGAAAAGGATAAAAGATCAGTAAGAAAAGGTTGGAAAGAAAGGACCAAGAGAAGTCGGGAAATGAAAAAGAAGAGATAGCAACTTATTGAAAGTTTGTCAACATCAGCTGAAAGCCCAACTGTAAATATTCCTATCGAAAATGAAATAGGCATAAATTTACTTCCTGGTCCCAGTCAGGAATCTAATTCCAGAAAAAGAAGCGGACTAAAAGTTTGTAGAAAATATAGAGATGGGTTGAAGAAAAAAATCCAAAAATTAGAAGGAAAAAACAATTTGTTAAAGCAAAGAGGTGATAAATACAAACAAAAATTCTACAGACTGCGATATGCAAAAGATAATACTCCTCAAAAGGTGGTTAAAAAAATGACCAGTGTTGCGAAATGTTCGAAGGAAGTAAAGAAAAGCTTGCTTTTTAGCGAAGTGCTAAAGACACAAATACAATCAAATTTTTTTTACTGAGAGTTGTATAGCCAAAAAAAAAGGATTTTGCCAGGATATTAAGCGGAAAGATAATAAAGAAGTACAGACTTCAAAGAAGCCTCAACAATCTTACTTCAAGATATATCTTACCATACAACTTAAATCAACCCTCAAATGTACTGAAAAAGCAACAACTTGAAATGGAAGTTAGGAACTTTTTAGAAAAATATAGTTCCAGTAGGCTTACTGCTGGAAAAAAAGAAACAATAACAAGAAAGAAAAGTTAAAAAACAAAAAAGACTATTAAATAATACAATGCTGAATTTGTGGAATGAGTTCAAACAAACAACTGAGTTCAAGTCAAAGTTTTATAGCACATTTTGCAAATTAAGACCCTTTTAGGTTGTTCAACCAGACTTTCGTAAACGAGATACTTGTTTATGTATTGACCATGAGAATTTTTTCTTTGATTCTTGAAAAGTTGTATAGTCTTATGCGGGAAGCGGGTCTTATGCCATATAAATATCCTACTGTCTTATGCCATATAAATATCCTAAAGTCTTATGCCATATAAATATCCTACTGACTTGCTAAAAAGCATAACATGTGACGGCGAGCTGAGAGAATCATGCCTGGAAAGTAAATGCGAAGTATGCATTTTAAACAAAAAAAATAATTTGTAAAGAATTTGAGAATGATATGAATGAAAAAGTAACATTTCCACAATGGTCTAAAAAAAGTGTTGAACTTGTGATAAAAGATAA